AATTAACCTTCTCTTAGATTCAAGTGCATTCGCTCTTGGATATAAGTGCTCTTTGATTTTCGATTGTTTATTGAAATCTAATATTTTTGTTTTCGACTTTGGCGAGTCCGAACTTTGAACGTGGGAACGTGTGATGACTTAAGTCATAATTGTTTAGTCTACAGAAGGGACTGTCTGGAGTTTGTTTAGAGTTTCAGATTGCATCCTTTGTGTAAAGCCTGGGTTTATTCCGCTAGCTTTGGCTTTGGAATTCTTATAAACATCCGGCGGTTGCTATCTGATGTGTATGGATATAAGCTAGGGTAGCAAAGGGTGTATTGGGCAAGTGTGTTTGTGTTACAGGGTATTACAATATTGTGTATTGTGTGGTGTGTAAAGTAGGCGTAGACAGAGTCTATGGGACTGTGGATATGTCACTCCCCCAATCGTTGAATTTTGCCTGTCCTCAGGAATTTAAATTTGGGTACATTAAAATATTTTCTGAAGCTAATGGTTCGGTACTGATTTGGTTTGGTGTTTCCTCAGGTTTGGTGTATTTTACAATTAACTTCTTAGGAATATTCTTAAATTTATAAATTAAATACAGGATAAGACTGGTTACTGTAATTACAAATGTGGTTATGCATATTATTTGGAATGTTGGGTAGTATTTTACATGGTTGTCAATTAGTTCTTTGGTCTCCAAATAAACTAATGGTTCTATTTTGGTGATATTGTTGTTTATATAAATTGTTTGTGTAAAATCAGCAAAACTGTTGGAAATTATAAATTCATCAATCTGTATAGTACAATTTTTAATTTTGATCAAGTTATTTCCTATTATTGTGACTTTACTGTTGGTGCAATCTTGGTTTACAATAGTTTGTGGAAGATTCCATGTAATTAAAATATTGGGTTCAACGTAGTTGAGTTGGAAATTCTTCTGTGTTTTAGTGTATTTGCACTCTGTGGTCTCTTGTTTAACAATTCCAATAATGCATTTGTCAAATATTATTTGCCCTGTATTCTTATTATAAACCTTATCATCATAGATATAAAACTTATCGAATAGAGGTTCCGTCAGGATATAATTATGTTCGTCTGGGTATGGAATTATTTCGAAAACTGGCACTTTCGCAATATCGTTGGGAATATGTGAGATAATCAAGATTTCGTTAGTATCTGTTTTAAGCCAGGTAGAAGTTTTAATTTTTAGTATCTTTTCGGAATTAACTTGTTTTAGGTAATCGTGTTTTAGTAGTTTTGGGTTAAAGATTCCTGTTCAGGTCAGGAGCTTTCGTTTCCCCCCGCGCGACTCCGAAGCGCTCCTGCTTCCTCAAAGCTCCTCAGCGCGCTCTCACTCCTCAGCGCGCTCTCGCTCGCAGCTTGCGCTCTTGCGCAGCTTGCTCTCTCGCTCTTCTAGCGGAGGCTTTTCGACTCTGGGCGATCGGCGGGTCCAAACTCTCACTCCAATTTGTACATTAGATTAATTCCTAATTAGAACCTGAATAAAGCGGATCATACGATTTCATATTATATTGAAAGTTACCACGCCCCCCCGGCCTACTATTTCATTTCGTTGGTGGTGATTTTCTCTTGCGCGTTTTCGCTATTTCTACGGTGGTTACGTTGACTGCGGCGCGGGAGTGATTTATTTATTAATTCTTGTGCTGATCTGGAAAGTGAAGGAAATTGAATTTCCCCCCCCCCTCGAGCCGAACATTTGGTCCTTCGAGCCGGATTTGTGGATTTTTGGATTTCCGGATTTTATTGGATTTTTGGATTTTTGGATTCCGGATTTTTTCCATCCACACCAGCAGTTCTCGGCGTTATATTTTCCAAGATAAGTACGAATTATTCCGTCGCCCCCTCACTGCCGGTCTTCAGCAGTAGTCCGAACAATTAATTTCGGTCACTCTGCTGCAAGATTAATTTCCGTGTCGACTCCAAGAGCGAGTTTTCCTGACAACGGCAGTTGAGGAATTTTCCATTTCGTTTTTCCATTTCCTACATTTTGCAATTTTCAATCCGTCTCCGTTTTGATCGTCGCCATATTCTTTTTCGTCCGCTTTCCTCTACATATTGGCATATATCCGTACATCAATGTACAAAACGGTTCCGACAGAAAATTAAAATTCATACATACATATGTCCGTACATCTGTCTACATAAAGACATTGAGTTTATTTTACACAATATAAAAAGACAAAATTATTAAGATTCCGATAATAAAAAAATTACAAATAATAAAGAATACAGTCCGCTGCTAATATATACACATATATTATTATATTATTCCATATTATATTTTCTCCAGGTCAAATATATATGATTCCATATTATATTTTTCTACATTCCACATACATTTACATACAACATTAAAAAAAATAAAGAGAACCAAGAAAATAAACCATAATAAATAAAGAATAAAATATTAAAACAAAATTTTATAAGCCAGTGTCCGTCTTTTTTTCTGAATTTTATTGGTGCGCTATATACATACATACATACATAACCAAGAGCTTTACATTCTTTACAACGAACATTGAATTGAGAAAAAAAGTGCCAGGTGTTCCGATCCCACCATTCCGATCGAATTACTTTTTCCATACAATTAATAATTTTTATTTGTTAATAATTAACGAATTAATTGCGCATTTAATAATTTTTTAAAGTTTTGCACGCGATAAATATCAAGGGTACTCCATATATTTTCTTTGCATTTATTGGGTTATTATTAAGTACGAAAAATAATAAACAACTCGGCAATTTCATTCCGCAATTATTTATACATATAAATAAATTTCCATTCTCGTCGCATTTGCTCCAACTAATATTGGCTCCATTACAATTGATTTTGATTCTCGTCGCATTTGCTCCAATTAATATTGGCTCCATTACGAATAAATTTCCATTCTCGTCGCATTCGCTCCAACTAACATTGGCTCCATTACGAATAAATTTCCATTCTCGTCGCATTTGCTCCAACTAACATTGGCTCCATTACGAATAAATTTCCATTCTCGTCGCATTTGCTCCAATTAATATTGGCTCCATTACGAATAAATTTCCATTCTCGTCGCATTTGCTCCAATTAATATTGGCTCCATTACGAATAAATTTCCATTCTCGTCGCATTTGCTCCAGCTAATATTGGCTCCACTACAAATAATTCTACGATTTGAATTTTATTGGTTAATTCCACCATCCACCATCTACCATCCGAGTTCTACGGCATAGTCCTGCCATCCATATTCGCTTTGTTTTTACCGTCTCACATTTCTATTTCGGCGTTTTTAGTTGACGGTATTGACCTCAACTAAGTCTAACATTTGAATTCTACGGCATATTCTTGCCAATCCAATCAAAAAAAAAAAAAAATGTCGGAAGGACAAGAACCAATTCCGCAGGACGCGAGTCAGAAGAAGGAGGCAGCACAGTTAGCGCCTCCAATTGAGGGAAGTTCGAGGCGGGAACCGAGTCCGAAAAACACGGGCGCGGGACCGTCAAGTAATTTGAGATCCAAATCCAAGGGCACGTTAGAAGGTATTTTGCTTGAATTCATAGCAACCAGCGACCGTCTTGTCAAATATGAAAGCCAGATATTTACGGCATCCTCTTCCGAGCCTAGTCTGTTTACCTTAAAGGTCCGTCTGGATCAGACACAAGCCTTATGGGAAAAGGTCGAACGGGAGTATGAAACCGCTTCCAAAACGGCTCTTCGCGAAGGTAGCGGAAATCTTCCGTTACTGCAAAACAAATATGAGCACTGCTATGCGGTGTTCGAAAGATGTGCTTCGAAGCTAAGTGAAGACATCGCCCGTATGTCCGTCCCCACTTCACCGCCAAGAACAGCTCCGCCGACAGAGACATTCTCCAGGGGTTGCAGTCTTCCGCCATGCGATACCGAGATTTTTGACGGGGATTATCTGCGCTGGCCCACCTTTCGTGACCTGTTTACGGCCATCTATGTAAACAATTCCAGGTTGACTCCAGTGGAAAAGCTTTTCCACTTAAACGCCAAAACTAGCGGTGAAGCTCACGCCATTGTGGCCAAGTCTCCGCTGACCAATGATGGGTTCCAATCCGCGTGGTCAGCGCTGCAGGATCGCTTTGAAAATAAGCGATTGTTGGTAAACAGCCAACTAAAAATCCTGTTTAGTCTTCCGACCCTAGGCAGTGAATCAGGCACGGCCTTGAAAGATCTGCAGAGCACAATCCAAGGGTGCTTGATAGCCCTCGAACATTCACAAATTTCCACGGAAAATTGGGACTGCCTTCTAATTTTTCTAATCTCCTCCAAGTTGCCGAAGGTCACTCTCTCGTTATGGGAGCAGTCCTTGACCAATAAGTCCGCGATCCCAGCCTGGGAAGAAATGAATTCCTTTCTCGAGGAGAGATATCGGACGTTAGAAGCAATTGAGGATGTCCGACCCAATTCTTCCAGCACACAGAATTCAAGGGAGCCCAGAAGTACACAACCAAGGAGGGTAAATACCTTCGAGACACAAGTCGGGCCACACGCACGATTTTGTGATCTCTGCTCCAGGGAGCCTCATCCAGTTCGGCTTTGTCCGCGGTTTTTGCAGATGACTCAACCACAAAGAGCATCATACATTAGACAGAAGAGACTGTGCCTTAATTGCTTTGCAAGGGGACATAATCTTCGTGAATGCCCGAGCAGGCATAGTTGCTTCACATGCAGGGGACGGCATAATACGCTCTTGCACAAAGACACTCCGTCTAACGCTGTTAGCACAGCGCCGGCTCACCCTCCAGAGCAGCCAATCTCAAACACGTCAGTTCATTTCGCCTCCAACCAACAAGGAGTACTTCTAGGTACGGCCATAGTGCATGTGTGCCACCGAGGAGAGAAGTTTCCAGCACGTGCCCTGATAGATTCAGGCTCCGAAGGCACTTTCATTTCTGAGAGGCTTGCCAACCGGATTAAACTTCCATTTCAAGCCGTAACAACAAGAGTCACAGGGCTCAACCAAGCCAATTCCGGTGTCTCACAAAAAATGTGTCATTTCCAGATGGGCACTCCGGCCAAACCTATGCTCAAGATCGACACGACGGCGTTTGTGCTGCCGAACCTGGCCGGCAATCTTCCGACAAGCACAATTGACCGAAACATTCTTGATAGGCTGCCAAATATGCCATTGGCAGATCCGTCGTTTTTCCAGCCGTCTCAAATAGACCTTCTTCTAGGTGCGGATATTCTTCCGTCTGTCCTGTTATCGGGCTGGAGGCCAAACGTATGTGGGTCCTTATTAGCGCAAGAGACCATTTTCGGGTGGATTTTGACCGGCCCAGTGTCTTCAACCACTAGCAGGGTTTCATCTTTTACAACACAGATATCCATAGAGTCCGAAGCAACCATGGAAACACTTCTCACAAAATTTTGGGAGGTGGAGGACCTTCCATGCAGACTGGTAAAGGAAACGGACAAGTTGTGTGAAGACTTTTTCGTCCGAACAACTACCAGATCCTGCGACGGGAAATATATAGTATCCCTGCCCTTCAAAGATTCAGAGCACATTGACTTGGGGCATTCCAGGAGTTCCGCACTCGCACAGTTTCTGAGGAATGAGACGCGCTTGAAGAAGGAGCCCGCTCTCAAAGACACTTATGACTCAGTGATCCAAGAATACATCGATCTTGGACATATGAAGCCCGTGCCTCCGAATACCGACAAGATAAATTTCTATCTCCCCCATCATGCAGTATTTAAGCCCGAAAGTGCGACCACGAAAGTTCGCGTAGTTTTCAACGCATCCAGTCCTTCTTCCAATGGGAACAGCCTTAATGACATTCTGTATCCAGGGCCAGTACTGCAGTCCGATCTCACTCTTCAAATCCTGAAGTGGCGGACGTTTAAATTCGTGTTCAATGCCGACATCACCAAGATGTATCGGCAAATTCTCCTAAACCAAGAGCACACTCCGTTTCAGAGAATTCTCTTTCGAAATGGCCAAGGGGATATATCCGACTTCGAGCTTCAGACGGTCACGTTTGGAGTGAATTGTGCCCCTTTCCTGGCCCTACGAACACTGCAGCAATTGTCTGACGATGTCAACGCCCAATATCCACGGGCGTCGCATATAATCTCAAATTATATGTATGTCGACGATGTGCTAGCAGGAGCCCATACAGAGGCTGAAGCTATTTTAGCCATTCGGGAGCTGCAAGCAGCTCTGGACTCAGCTGGATTCCCTCTCCGCAAGTGGACATCGAATGAACGTGCACTCCTTAAAGCACTTCCTAAAGAGCATCTACTTTCGACTGATTTTCTTGATCTCGAAGAGGTCAGCACCACTAAGACATTGGGAGTACGGTGGAACGCTACGACGGATGAGTTCTATTTTGTCCCAACAGAGGTCACCATTCAGGCAAACTATTCGAAACGTGACGTCTTATCCCAAATCGCGAAATTGTTCGACCCAGCTGGGTGGCTCTCCCCATTTGTGGTTCAGGCCAAAATTCTGATGCAGGACATCTGGTTAGCCAGCGTCGAATGGGATGAGTTTCTTCCTGCAGAACTACTACATCGTTGGCATGATTTCCTTCGGAGCTACAGTTTCCTCCACCAAGTTCGCATCCCGCGTTGGGTACATTTTCAACCAGGTGTACAAGTCCAAATCCATGGTTTCTGCGATGCCTCCCAAAAGGCTTATGGCGCAGCGATTTACGTTCGCATCCAGCGTGATGGAGTCATTTCAGCAAATCTTCTAACGTCAAAGACCAAAGTCGCTCCGGTAAAAACCGTTTCGCTCCCGCGTCTAGAACTGTGTGGAGCCGTCCTTCTGGCAGACTTGTGGACTGCAATTCTGCCTCAGATTCCTTTCGGTCGTATAGAATCTTTTCTATGGACTGATTCCACTATCGTGCTGGCATGGTTGAACAAGCCACCATGTCAGTGGACGACCTTCGTCGCAAACAGAGTCACAAAAATCGCTCAAAATACTGATGCCAGCCAGTGGTCTCACGTGCGTTCCGAGCACAACCCAGCAGATCTAGCCAGTCGGGGAGTAGCGGCTGAAGAGTTAGCTACCAGTGAGCTATGGTGGCATGGGCCTTCATGGCTAACTCAGCCACAAGACTCCTGGCCTGCACCTTATGAATCTGTTTCCGACATCGACATCGAGAAGCGACCCATACGTTGCCATTTAGCATGCCCGGAGCAGGACATGCTTGAGCGGTTCTCCAAGCTCGACAAGGCACTACGAGTTTTCGCCTATGTTCAGCGCTTCATCCAGCGCTCGCAAAAACGACCTATTCCAGGCGAGCTGCAGCTATCCAATATAGAGATTTCCACAGCTGAGCGACTCCTAATTTTCATAACACAGCGCAGATACTTTGCGCTTGAATATGCCTGCCTGAGCCAAAAGCGGCCAATTCCAGCATCCAGTGCTATTAAGAACATGAATCCCTTCCTTGATCCTCACGGCCTCATCAGGGCGTGTGGTCGGGTAACGGCCTCCGAAGTCCTCCAATATGATGAACGACATCCGATCTTTCTTCCATACAACTGTCAGTTGGCGCGTCTCCTTGTATCCTTTACGCATCGCATCTCCTTGCACGGCGGTAATCAGCTAATGGTACGCCTGATCCGCTCAAAATTCTGGATACCAAGGGTCAAGAACTTAGTCAAGTCTGTAATTTTCTCCTGCAAAATATGTGTGATCCACAAAAAGAAGTTGCAGACCCAGCTCATGGGCGAATTACCAAAAGAAAGAACGTCCTTTTCGCGGCCTTTTACGTACACGGGCATGGATTATGCCGGACCGTTTGATATAAAGAACTACACCGGGAGAGCCTGCCTGATTACCAAGGGCTATGTGTTGGTGTTTGTATGTTTCTCCACGAAGGCCATCCATTTAGAGCCTACTTCTGACCTCACAACAGAGAAATTTCTCGCAGCTTTCGCCCGATTCGTCTCGCGAAGAGGGTGCCCTCGACAAGTTCAGTCGGACAATGGGAAGACCTTTGTTGGTGCAGCCGCAGTGCTGTCGCGTGAATTTCTGCAAGCTGTCAAGGAGTCCGTGACGACTGCTTATAGTCACCAGGAACTCCTGTGGCAATTCATACCACCAGGAGCCCCGCACATGGGAGGATTATGGGAAGCTGGAGTTAAAAGCTTCAAGACGCTGTTTTATAAATCCACAGCCACTCGAAAGTATACGTTCGAAGAACTTTCTACATTGCTGACCAAGATTGAGGCCTGTCTTAATTCGCGTCCACTCGCCCCGATGTCCGAAGACCCCACAGACTTGTTGGCACTCACGCCAGGTCATTTTCTCGTAGGTGGACCCCTTCTCGCCACCGTCGAACCCGAAATTAAGGGTGCGTCAACTTCCATTATCAACCGGTGGCAGCACCTTAAGGCCCTTCATCAGCAATTCCGCCTGAGATGGAAGGAAGAGTACCTCAAGGAGCTCCACAAGCGAACAAAGTGGCAAGTCCCCACAAGAAATCTCGAGGTGGGCGAGATGGTTATAATCAAGGACGATAATCTGCCGTCCAATGAGTGGCGGCTCGGCAGGATTGACTCCGTGTTTCCCGGACCCGATGGTCATGTCCGAGTAGTGAATATTCGTACTGCGCGGGGGATCGTTAAGCGCCCTGTCGCAAAAGTCGTATTGCTTCCGGGGGCAACCCCCGAAGAATCCCAATAACTAGCCCTATCCTCACTCCGTAGTTTGCGTCTTTCGCTAGTTCTAAGTCATATTTTCGACTCCATACTAATTCATTTTGTATCCTACTCCAGATTACAACCAATGTTCCCACGTCTACGTAGCGCCGTCGAAATGGAGAGCAGACGTACACGAGGTATGAATTCCTACCGTTGCCGAGTTTGCCACGGAGTCCACCCTCTACGGAAGTGCCGCAGATTCTTGCGGCTGAGCATCGAAAAGAGGCTCCGCGCGGTCCTCGCGAATCGCTATTGCGCCAACTGCTTGGCTCACGAGCATTCGGATGGAGCGTGCCGCCGTGGCGATCGGTGTAAGATCTGCAGCGGGGAGCACCACACACTGCTGCATATGCAGGAGCAACCTCGGTATTTATGCCGTTCGCGTCAGTTGACGCCGCCCTCTCGTCGCGCTCGAGCTTTTCACCACCACGTTTCGGCCTCTCTTCACCACGCGGCGGCCTCTCCTCAGCGCTCTGCGGCCTCACCTCAACGCTCTTCGTCGGCCTCTCTTCACCACGCGGCGGCCTCTCCTCGGCGCTCTGCGGCCTCGCCTCAACGCTCTTCGTCGGCCTCTCAACTCTCTTCGGCCTCTCCTCGGCATTCGTCGGCATTCGCCACGCAGGGAGTTCCGACAGGGCCTTCACTGGCCACTTTGCTTCAGCGACACAGCGTGAACCTCCTCCCGACCGCTCTGGTGCGAATTGACACCGGGACGCGAGTGTTCGACACAGCGGCGCTCATCGACCCATGCACTCCTATGAGCTGCATTGACGCGTCGCTGGCGACCTCTTTGCGACTTGCGACGACAGCGGTGGGTGCTGAACAGATCTGCTCAGCCACCGTCGGCTCGAAAACGAACGCCCAGGTCCGGCTCGACCTCGTTTTCAAAGTGGAGCCTCACGTGCGCGTACGCACTCCGATCCGACAGTTGGATGAGACTGTGCGGACCTATTTCAAGGACATTACCTTGGCAGATGAACGATTTTACCTTCCGGCTACGATTTCCGTCATCCTGGGTGCGGATGTGTACCCCAAAGTTATGCAGCCTGGGTTCCTGAAAGTGCAAGATGGATTGCCGGTGGCCCAAAGCACCGTATTTGGATGGGTCCTGTCCGGGGCCTGTCACACGCCGTAAGGAGGAGCAGTTTTTTTTTTTTTGCAACCCATAGTGATTGCAAGGGGGGCGGAATGTTCAGGTCAGGAGCTTTCGTTTCCCCCCGCGCGACTCCGAAGCGCTCCTGCTTCCTCAAAGCTCCTCAGCGCGCTCTCACTCCTCAGCGCGCTCTCGCTCGCAGCTTGCGCTCTTGCGCAGCTTGCTCTCTCGCTCTTCTAGCGGAGGCTTTTCGACTCTGGGCGATCGGCGGGTCCAAACTCTCACTCCAATTTGTACATTAGATTAATTCCTAATTAGAACCTGAATAAAGCGGATCATACGATTTCATATTATATTGAAAGTTACCACGCCCCCCCGGCCTACTATTTCATTTCGTTGGTGGTGATTTTCTCTTGCGCGTTTTCGCTATTTCTACGGTGGTTACGTTGACTGCGGCGCGGGAGTGATTTATTTATTAATTCTTGTGCTGATCTGGAAAGTGAAGGAAATTGAATTTCCCCCCCCCCTCGAGCCGAACAATTCCTAATCTGGTTAGTTGCATGCCAAGTTCTATGTCTTCGATATATTCCGTGAACTGTTGTATATTAAACATCAAAATAGCTAAATGCTGATCCCTTTCTTTATCTTCTTTGAGCTTATTAATAATGTCTATCCCACTATTGATAACATCAATAATCATATTCAAGTCATAATTTTGGACTGAACTTTCTGACAAATTATTAATTCTTTCCTCTAGCTCTTCTCTGTCATTTTGGTCTAAAGTACCGAATAGATATTTATACGCCGTACCTACTACATTAAGGAGACCTCTTCTGTTACGCTTGATAATTTTTATACCGGTTATTTCCCTCTTTAATTTTTCAACTAAATATTGTATTTGTAAAATACTCGGGAACTCTTTTGCTTCATTTAACAGGTTGTCGAATATTAGCATGGTCTTCGTCAAATTTATACTCAAGTAGTGATATTCGTAATTTATTGGGATGTCCGTGGTTCCTGTTTGGAATACCAGATATCCATTCCTTGCACTTATTGGGTTTATTTCGATGTTACTCCCTTGGACCATATGAATCATGGGAATCATACATATCAGCAAGATTGGAAGTATTAGCCGTTTACATTTCTTCGTCGGGTCTGGAAGTATCGTATTTGCTTTTGTTAAAATTCTTTTGTCTTTTGAATTTAGATTTATAATGAACGATTTTCCTGCCGCGATTAGTTTCTTCGAAATGTTTATCATCCACTTGTTTTATCTGTCCTGTCTTTTTGAACGGATTAGTGACTTTACTTTTTACAAGTGGGGCTTGCCTATACTTTGTATTAACCTCAAACTCTTTTCTTTTCTCGTTGAGCTTGTTAATCCGGTCAATTTTATTTTGTTGGGTATTAAAGTCAGGGGTTCCTGCATAGAGAAAGATATCTGCTGGGGTTCTCTTGGTAGTATTATGTTTTGTTTTGTGATTATAAACATATAAGATGGACTCGAATTTCGTGCACTTGTCCTCTATATTCGTTTCACTACCAATGATCCTAAGTTTTTCATTAACAGTTTTGTGGAATCTTTCTATGTCAGACACTCCGTTTTTGCTTGTGGTTACAGAAATATTTACACCTTCAGATTTTAGCCAGTTCTGTAGTGCAATGCACATGAATGCTGAATCTTTGTCTGCTTTGATTTCTTGGGGTTTTCCCATATCATTGAATACCTTCATAATGGCCCTTTTCGCTTCAAGCCAATCTCTACTTTTTACTTCGACGAGCGTTGCAAATTTCGAGTAGATATCTATGCAAGACAAGAAAATCTGATTTCCCGTGAGATAAAAATCGATCACGTATTTCTCTCGAGCGTTGAATATCTCTGGTGTTATTTCAAACAGCAAGTTAGTATTTCTGTGTTCAGTCTTTGCGACATTACAGATTTCGCACTCATTGATTATGTTTTGAATGAGCTTCTGACTGTCCGGATAATAGTATTCTTCTTTAAACCAATTGATGGTTTTTTCTATTCCTGGATGTAGAAACTCTTTATGCTTCTTGAGGATCAAGTCCTTGAATTCAGCATAAGTTGAAACATCAACCAACTTTCTGGTACATCTCAACAATTTGGTTAAACTGTTGGGGCTTATGATTTCAGTATATGCCCTTTGGAATACCAAAAAGTCCTCGTCATTAGGGAAATAAATAGCACTTTTCTTTGTGCATACATATTCCTTGATGAGGGATTTAGCGAGTTCGTTAGTCATTTCTTTATATGTTATTTTGATTTTTATTTTCTGAAAGAAATGATTAACTTCTGCGTTGTCATTATCGCCCTTTTCTATCTCGATCTGTCGAGAATAGAAATTCAATGGTCTCTCAGAGATGGATATGTAATTTAAATTATCTTCGCCTGCACTATGGATAGTGGCATCATTGCTATTTGCAATTTCACCGAGCATTACTTCTTCAATTTTTGTTCTAGAAAGGGCATCTGCTACATAGTTTTCTTTTCCAGGGAGATATTTTATCTTGTAGTCAAATTCATTTAATTTGATTTTCCATCTTTGGGGTTTCATGTTTGGTTCTTTAATATTATTGAGCCATACCAGGGGTTTATGATCACTTTGTATTTCAAAAGGCCTGCCAAACAGGTATGACCTGAAATACTTTGTTGCCCAAACTATTGCTAACAATTCTTTTTCGATGGTAGCGTAGTTTATTTCATGCTCATTCAGCGTTCTGCTGGCATAGCATATGGGTTTGTGATTTTGGGATAATACCGCCCCTATCGCTAAGTTACTTGCGTCTGTTGTAAGGGAAAAGGGTTTTGAAAAATCAGGGTAGATCAAGATCGGCTCTGAGGTTATCAATACTTTTAACCTTTCAAATGACCCAATGTAATCTTTGCACTTGGTATCGATTACAGCACCTTTCTTCAACTTCATCGTCATTGGTTTGACGACCTTTGCGAAGTTGGGAATGAATTTCCTATAGAAGCCACAAAGTCCCAAGAATGATTTAATCTGTTTTGGGGTCTTTGGCAATGGAAAATTTACAATAGCATTGGTTTTGTTTGGATTAGGTTTGATACCGTCTGTCGTGACAACATGTCCCAGAAACTCAGTTTCTTTTTTCATGAATTCGCACTTGTCTAGCTGCAGCTTCAAATTAGCATCCCTTAATTTTCCGAAGACTTTCCTAAGTGATAAGATGTGCTCCTCCAATGAAGTGGAGTAGATAATTATATCATCTAGGTACACTAAGCAATCTCTGTAGATCAAATCTTCAAGAAGATTGTTCATGCATCTCTGGAATGTTGCAGGTGCATTTTTCAAACCAAAAGGCATACGCGTGTATTCGTAATGCCCATGTTTGGTCGAAAAGGCTGTCTTTGCAATGGAATTGTCATCCATTTGGATTTGATGGAATCCTTTAGCTAGGTCAATCGTGGTGAAATACTGGCAACGACCAAGTTTGTCCAGTATTTCATCCATTCGTGGAATGGGAAATTTGTCATTTACAGTGATCTCATTTAGATTCCTGTAGTCGACGACTAACCGAAATTTCGGTTTCCCTGAGGCATCAGCCTTCTTGGGGACTACCCAAATGGGAGAGCAGTAAGGAGATTTCGATTTACGAATTATTCCCTGCTCAATCATTTCTTTTATTTGTTTATTTACCTCCTGATCCACGCTTTGGGGATACTTATAGGGTTTTCGGTAAACTGGGTCCTCATGTTGAGTTTGGATAACGTGTTTGATAGTACTTGTGAAAGTCAAATTTTCACCTTCTTTGTACTGAATGTCCCTATATTCATAGAGAACCTTCTTCAAACACTCAACCTCTTCAACGTTTAGGTGTTCGAGTCTATATTTATTGCATTCGCGTAACTCGTTTTCAACCGCGAAGCTGACTGTATCGTTGTCAACGGACTTAGGGTCAATTTTGTTTTCTTTCTGGCCCTTTAAGTCTTTAACTGGAGTAAGGCACTTTGATGGTGCGGTCTTCTCCTTCTTTGATTTGGATTTTGCTCCTTTTGTAGGTGCAATTTTATCCATGAGCTGTTCTGCAGATGCAAGCTCATTTTTAAGTTTTGGGTCGAGGCATTTTGTAGATGCGGTCTCGCCCTTTTCTTCCTCGAAACAGAACTTATAGGTTTTGGACCCCAAAGTTACTGTCTCCTTCTCGTAATCAATTTTTGCTTTGGTGTTTTCTAGATAAGGGCGACCTAACAGGAAATCATAATTTTCGGAAAAATTGTGCACATAAAATTTTTGTTCGGACGGACACACAGCACTGGGTTTTAATTTGATGCTTTTTACCAATTTTATTGGCCCCATTATAGTGTATACCGATAATTTTTCTGTACTTTCTTTTACTTTTGCAAAGTTTTCCTTTATGATATTGATGGAAGACCCTGTGTCCACCATGCCCTTATAAAGCTTATTTTCATATGTAATTTTTAAAAATGGACCGACCCTTCCTCTTCTAATTCCTGTGTCTCCGAGGCAGCTTGATGAAAATTTACGTCCATGCGGCTTTGTCCGCTTGAACTTTCCCTCTGCCTCTTGACACCTCCGCTATTATTAGCGTTGTTAGATGTTGAAGGTTGGAAATTAAGGGGGTTGTTCTGCCTAGCCTGAGTTAAACCATCTCTGCATGTATTATAATTTCCCCTTTGATTTGGTGGAATAGTTTGGTTACTCGGGTTAGTATTACGAGAATTGTTTTGATTTTGATTATTCTGGTTAGTGTTTTGTGTAGAATAATTTTGGTTAGTAGAATTGTGATAATTACTGGGGTGATTATATTTATTATTATAATATCTTTGATTATTCTTCTGATTCTTATTCCCCCCGCTTTTGCGACCTTGCCAGCTCGATTTCGAAAAACTATCCATTGGATTTGAGTCGTAAAGACCCAACTCCATTGTGGCTTGTTTTAATTTAGGAATGGTATCTATGTCTTTTCTTGCTAGTGACATGTACATCCTGTCCGGAAGTTTTCTATCGATTGTCGTTTTTATTGTGGTTTTTAGCATT